AAATAAAGCAAGTACTAGCGGGTCAGCAGAAGAAGCAGTTGTTAGTGTTTCCTCGAGAATACCCGAATTTTGGGCCGATCAGCCGCGGCTCTGGTTCATCCAGTGCGAAGCTGTCCTTGCACCGCAGAAGATGAGCGATGAAGCGAGATACAACATGGTAGTCACTAAATTGGGGAAGGATGTAATCCAGCAAGTCAGCGACATTCTTATCAAGCAGCCCGAGGGAAGGAAATTCGATACTTTGAAAGAGCGATTGTTAAAGGTCTACGAAGAGTCCGAGATTCGACAGTTTCAAAAACTTTTGAGTGAGATGGAGTTGGGAGATCAAAAACCCTCTCAACTCCTTAGGCGGATGAGGGAATTGGCTCGAGAAAAGATACGCGACGAAACACTTCGGATAATGTGGCAAGGTCATCTGCCGTCGTCTGTGAGAAGTGTATTAGCAGTGTGTGAAGTAAAAGACCTGGAGCATTTATCAGCAATCGCGGACAAGGTTGTGGAGACTGAGCGACCCTTACAAGTGACAGAAGTGCAAGCTACACAAAGTAGTACGAACACAGAGACTGCGTTAATTCTGGCGGAGATTGCCAAATTAAGTCTAAAAATCAGGGATTTGGAGAGAGATAGACATCGTGATTATCGTAGAAATAATTATCAATATCGCTCCAGATCGCGATCTAACTCACGCGGCCGTACTCGTAATACGACACGGCGCTCACCTGATAGTCCGGACTGGCTGTGTAGTTATCATTATAAATATCACCATAGAGCTACGAAATGTGTACGAAATCTGTTTTAGGCCAGGCGCACGGTTCTGCGCCTGGCCTAAAACAGACAAGAAGGAAAACTAGATCTGGTGCAATCGCAGGTGGAGATTTGCACCATAGCTCCTGTTCCCCGATTATGTATCACGGACAATAGCAGTGGACTCCGATTTTTAGTGGACACTGGTGCGAACATTTAAGTGCTGCCGGTGAATAAAAATCGCGTATCAAGTGCAAAATGTGAAGACTATAAACTGTACGCTGCGAACGGGAGTGAAATTAAGACTTTTGGTGTTAAAACATTGGACTTAGACCTTAAGTTACGACGACCATTGCGTTGGTCATTTGTGGTGGCAGACGTCAAGCAACCAATACTCGGTGCTGATTTCTTAGCCCATTATAAACTATTAGTGGATGTGAACAATAAAAAACTTATCGACTCAGTGACTAGTCTAAAAACTATTGCGTCTGTGACTGTGCAAAATGAACCGTCCGTGAGAACAATTGACTGTATGAATGAATATAGCGATATATTAGGCGAATTTCCCAACGTAACGAAGCCAATGTGTTTTAAGGAGCTTCCTTGTCACTCGGTGGTACATCGTATAGAGACTTCGGGCCCCGCTGTATTCGCACGTCCAAGGCCTTTACCACCCGATAAATACTATAAGGTTAAAGCTGAGTTCCAACGCATGCAAGAGATGGGAATATGTAGACCCTCTGAGAGCAACTGGGCGAGTCCTCTTCATGTCGTTACGAAAAAGAACGGCGAGCTAAGACCGTGCGGCGATTATCGAGCATTGAACGCGATCAGCAAGCCGGATCGATATCCGATATCGCGCATCCAAGATTGTAGTTATTTATTGCACGGGAAAAGTATATTTACGAAAATTGATATTCAACGGGCCTACCATAACATTCCTATACATAAGGACGACATTCCGAAGACGGCTATAACAACGCCATTCGGTTTGTTTGAATTTTTACGCCTTGGTTTCGGGTTCCGTACGGCGGCGCAAACATTTCAATGTTTCATGCAAGACGAAGTGTTACGGAATCTTAACTTTGTATTTATATATATTGACGACGTTATTATAGCGTCATCAACGAAAAATGAGCATAGGCAACACATAAGAGAGGTATTACAGAGATTGGATAAATATGGTATTACAATAAATTTAGCAAAGTGCGAATTTGGCAAGACTGAAATAGATTTTTTGGGATTCCGGATGTCAAAGGAAGGCATGAAGCCATTGGACGATCAAGTCAAGGTCATTTCTGAATATCCAAGGCCAAAGACAGTGGAAGAACTTCGTCGTTTTCTCGGAATGATCAACTTTTATAGAAGACATTTACCGAAGGCCGCCGGAATCCAAGCGAAATTAAACGTATTTCTCCATAATTGTAAAAAGAAAGACAAGAGTTCGATTCCATGGACGGATGAAAGTATTGAGGCGTTTGAACAGTGTAAACAAAGCCTTAAAAGCGCAGTTACACTGTCATTCCCGTCGCCGGATGCACCGATTGCTCTCATGACGGACTGTTCCAGCACATGTGCAGGTGCTGTGTTGCAGCAAAAAAGAAGGCGAGGCATGGAAACCATTAGGATTTTTTTCATCGAAATTGAGTGAAACACAACAACGTTACTCAACGTATGATAGAGAGTTGTTGGCCATTTATATTGCTATTAAGCATTTTCGACCTTTTATTGAAGGCAGACCTCTTATAGTATACACCGATCACAAACCAATAATTTACTCGTTACGTAAAAACACAATTAGTAAAAATGACACACCACGCAGAATACGGCAACTTGACTTCATAATGCAATTTTGTACAGAAATAAGGCATATTTCAGGCTTGGAAAATACTGTTGCTGACTGTTTATCAAGAATATCAGAAATTGACATACCATCACCGCTAGATTATGAAAAGTTAGCCGAAGCACAGAATAATGATTTTGAGCTGCATAATCTAATGAAATCAAAGTCATTATCTTTTAAGAAAATATTAGTACCAAATTGTAACAAAGCAATTCATTGCGATATGTCTTTGAACCGAGCACGACCATATTTGCCTCCTCTCGTCAGTCCAAAACCTTCTAAAGGTCGCTATTAAAAAAGTACGCGTCTCTCCACAACCTTTAGAAGGTTGCTATTTACATATAAACTTCAGGGTTGGACAGATGCGCCAAAGCGGGCATTTTGGCCGGGACAGTTGAGAGGATCCTCTCGTCAGTCCAAAACGTTCTGAAAGTCGCTATTAAAAAAGTACGCGTCTGTCCACAACCTTTAGAAGGTTGCTATTTACATATAAACTAAGGAATTTCGCGTATCAGCTTTCAACGCGGTGCACGGAATTAGTCACCCGGGCACGCGTGCAACGAGAAAAATGATGCAAGATAGATATATATGGCATGGCATGAACAAAGACGTGGCTGAATGGGTCAAAGGTTGTGTAGGCTGCCAAAAATCAAAAATACAAAGACATACGATGTCACCCCATGGACATTTTGTAAATAGCGACCGATTTGATCATCTACATATGGATATAGTTGGACCACTTACATATTGTCAAGGCCATCGATATGTTGTGACAATGGTGGATAGGAAAACTGGATGGCCGGAAGCCAGCACCGCTGGCCGTATGAGGACGCTCAAGGTCGCTCAGCGAGCTATGGAGAGGGCTATGCTCGGAGTTTCACTGCGTGATAGACTCAGAAATGAGGATATCCGCAGTGAAACCAGAGTGACCGACATAGCCCAACGGATTAGTAAGCTGAAGTGGCAATGGGCCGGCCATATAGCTCGAAGAACCGATAACCGATGGGGAAGAAAGGTTCTCGAGTGGCAGCCTCGTACCGGTAGGCGTAGTGTAGGGCGACCCCCACTAGATGGAGTGACGACCTGGTAAGACATGCAGGAAGTCGATGGATGCAGGTGGCTCAGGACCGTGCTTTGTGGCATTACTTGGGGGAGGCCTATGTTCAGCAGTGGACTTGTGAAGGGCTGTAATGATGATGATGATGATGTGAGTGTGTGTAGAGTAATGTCAGGCAGAGGTGATTTGTATGTGAGCGCAAATATTATATTAACTACGAAATGGATAAGCTAATATGCGTTAAGAAATCGCTTAATATCTTGTGCTTAAGATTTCCGATACGTTAAATAATTATTATTTGTATCAAAAGGCGTTACGGAAATAAATGCAGTTTTCTTTTTGTAGTGTAGGGTTACATGTCTGTGTCCCGTGTCATTTATGTATAGATAGCACTGAGATATATTGTTAAAAGAATTAATATTACTACATTTGCTATATATATATATTTCTGTTTTGATATGCACTGTGGTTGAAGATAAAATGAGTTCATTTCAACTTGTGTAGCTCTTATTCTTATCTTATTTAAAAAGACTTATGAGATAGAATTTTTGTAAAGCGCAGTGTGAAATTTCTATTTTCACTTCTTCTAAGCTGGAGGAAACTAGACGGAGCTAAGGAACTCTTTGTTTAAAAATATTTGTTTATAGAATACAACATGTACGCCTCATTCTTAACAGCGTGTTTGTGTATTTATGTGGTGAAGATAGACGCGAGCGGACGCCGCAGGCTGTGTCGATTCGCGCAGCGGCCTGACGTCGGCGCTGCGCCGCCCCGCGCCCCCACCCGCCCCCGCCCGCCCAGCTCTCTCGCGTCGCACGCCGCCCGACCGAGCGACACTCCGCACGTTTAACGCCGCCGCGTCCGCGACACCCTCGTCGAATTCACCCTGTGTATCGTTTAGCGATTAATTGATTATCACCACCAACCTCAAGTGCTAGATTTATATCTAATAGACGACCTAGTGAACATAAACATTGCAGTGTGATACTCGCGCACGCGCCCCTTGCGCGGTCATGACGACAGCGGCCATCTTGCCCGAGGACGCACTTTCGCCTCGCCCTAGCATCGAAGTCTAATCGCGAAAGCACGTCGTAATTCGAACTAACGGAGCGATGTGTCGAGGACGGGGCTCCGTTGCGGGTGCCCTCTGAGCCCGCATCGCGCCGCCGCTATCGATCCGGCGGAGTGCGATGGCGCTCGCGGAGTGAATGCGGACATCGGGACCGCGCAGCAGCCGCGCTACAGCGGAGCACCCGTCCAGTGATAGTGCTAGAGTGGTCGCGCGGTATGTGAGACGGCGAGCCGCCGCGGCTGGGAGGGCGCGCGGGCGGCGGCGGGGCCGGTTGACCGCGCGCCATGGGCGAGGAGTACGCGCGCTCCCCTTGCGAGCGCTTCCCGACGGCGGGCGCGTTCAGCGTGGCGCCGCCGGAGCGGCTCAGCCCACCGCCGCCCGCGCCGCTGCCGGACCGCTTCTCGGCGTCGCCGCGGCGGGTCCGCCGCAGCGCGGAAGCGGAGCGCGCTCGGCTGCCGAGATATGTGCCTCCGGCGGCGCACGTGCCCGTGGAGCGATATGTGCCGCGTCCGCCAGCTCCACTGCGGCCGCCGCCGCCAGTGTACTGCGGACTGGCGTGCCGGCCACCACCAGCACCGCGCAAGTGCTGCGGCCCAGCATGTCGCGAAGATATAGTCAGCTCGCCGCCTCCGACGCGTTACGCAGAGTACGTTGGAGCGGCGGCAGCTCGCCGGCTAGCTTGTACGCCGCCGCCACCGCCACCGCCAGCGTTACAGTTACCTTGCGAACCTCAAGAGCCGCCTTGCTGCGTGCAGGCTCGTCGAAGGCCACAGCTAGCGCATGATTGGTGAGTTATTCAATTAATCATAATATTGACCCTTGATTAAATTAAATAGTAAACTTTACTCTGAAAAAGTTTTGATTACAATTAGCATTCAGATTAATGTTATTGCATAAACGTTGTCATGAGCAATTATTTCTTGGTCAGCAAATAACAATAATTGATGACACGACCGCAAACACAGGTGCCCAAAATATAAATTCACGTTCAATTCACTAATGACGCCCTAATTGAATTACTGTGGCTAAAACACTATTTTATAATAAATGTCACTATTAATTTCTTTTGTTTAGCTGGAAGTACATGTTTTATATTTATGTTTAATATAAGGTTATAATCTAAGAAAAAATTTATAATAAATATTTCCCTCTTTGTCTGTAAATCGATCTTTTCGTACCAACTACTAAATGAACTACAACGTAACCGATTCTACTTATGAAAACAAGCCATATTGCTCATGTTAAATTCACATTGGAATTAACTTGAAGTTAACATAAAGTTACCTAAAAGGTTTTACTAATGTATGTTTCGCATGCAAAAACATGTTGGATACTTTCTTTGTGAAACATCGTGCTAAGTTGCTTTTATGACATATTTTATGCCAGAATATTAAAAAAGATTTTGTTATTCGAATTTAGATCTTTTTCTAGGTTTTTAACTTTTCGAATTATGATACTAACAGAAAATTTCTTACCTGTGTAGAATTTATTAGAGACTATATGTTAAGTTTCTATGTGGGTGTGTGAACATAAAATCTATATGAAATAATAATCCAAAATTGCCTACAAAGATAATATTCGATGCAACGCCGATTTGATTTCGAAGTAGAGTCTCTAGTGTTTAAGACACGAGGTATTGTTAGAATCGTTATGCATCTAGATCTAAAAAGTTCTTATTGTCACGATTCGATAACTCAGTAAATTGGCATCATGTTATCGATATTGTATATAGTTAAATAAAGGGAGCTGTGGCAAATATATTGCATAGTTGAAAATATTGTGTTTCAAATGACCGTAAGAAGATAAAATTTTGAAATTTCTTTGTTATTTGATGTTTACCAATTTCAGAGTGTAAATTGTTATAAAGAATCTATATGGTGCTGTAGAAAATATATTAACAATCACAATATTTATATCGTATAGGGTCATAGAAAAGGTAGCTGTTTAAACAGTTTCGCAATTTTAGTATGAACGTTTTGATCGTTTAACTACTGTGTATATTTAGCGGGCAGAGAATCTATTAGTATAAAGTTATTTCTTGGAAATATTTATATAGTTGCTATCAGAAAAAAAGGATATGACAAAAATAACACAACAACAACTAATACAACGTGTAGGCAAATGCCTTATTTCAAATAAGGAACACAAAAAGGTGGGTTTCAACATGCCTTGCCCGTTTTCACATTCCGAAGAAACCTTTTTCACAGATGTTGATAAAAACTACCTAAAGACTTTAAGCTTTATACTTTTCTGAATTTATTTATTTATTTATTTGACCGTTTTCTAGCAGTTATTATAACTAACGTTTGCTTAATAGTCCGCTTAGAGGCCCGAATACGAAATATGTTTTATAAAGATATACATATACGTTTAGTTATAATAAAAAGCAAGTTTTTTTTGTAATGAAACATTATTCTGTAATATAATTTGTATTGTTCTGTCATATCATATTCTAACGTGCCTCATCATTTTTTATAAGAGCCGTGCTAGCTCAGATAGTTAACGCTCGCTGTAAATATAACAGAACGCGAGTAACTCGGGTTCAATCCCCGCCGGCAGCAATGAAATTATTAATTGCAATTTTAAGTGCTGATTTACCACGTGCTCGGTGAAGGAAAACATTGTGAGGAAACCGGCATGTCTGAGGAATAAGAAAAAAAATATTTCGAAGACATGTGAAGTTCGCCAACACGCATTGCGCGGCGTACACTTCCTTGCCCTAAAACCCTCTCAGAAATGAGGGGAGACCTGTGCCCAGCTGTGGGACGTATATAGGCTGTAACTTTACTTTACTTTACTTCATCATTTTTATATTATATTAAGTATTTTTAAAATATATTTCAATGATAGTAAAATAGTATCTTTGCGTAATTATTTGATAACATTGCGAAGTAAAATAAAACATTTAAAGAAGTTGTAAAAAGAACAATTTGTTATATTTATAAGTGTTTCAACGGTCAAACTTAAGGTTATTCGAGGATACACTTTATACCCTGTTCAGATTGCTGTAGTTACGGTCGAGTTGTTATTGTTTCAGTGGAGTCAAATCACTCGGAAAACAGATCTTGTTACATAATGCTACATTTAACTGCTGCTGACGTATTTCAGACTGAATACCGCGTATTTGTCTATACGCCCTTTATTAACGTTCTTTTTTAATGTTTTCCAGCCAGTTGTTTTATGATGGCAATGCTATTACGCCTGGGTATCGTGAAATATCCATTAAAAGTTTTGCGACTGTTCACAAAAATTTGACCTTTCATTGCGTCTTTTAATCCTGAGCGAATGAAATTTTTTCATCTAACTGAAATTTTATATCTCAATTTGATGTGATGAATACTAAATGAAGGTTTTTGAAATGTTCGGCTTCATATAATAGTTTTAAAATTTATATTTTCTTTTTGATCAGCGTGAACATAAAACAGAATATTGTTCGCTCGACAGTGGTACAAATGTGACTAACACAAAGAAAAAAATATTATAAAATATTATACATATCACATAATATAAACACTCACGCCTGTCACCCAGAGGGGTAGGCAGAGACTACGAACTTCCATTTGGCACGAAGCTGACACACCTCTCTCGCCTCCTTTACGTACATATATCTACGCATACACGCTCGTCGATTAATGGTATTCCTAATGTCGCCCATTTTCAATATATCGCCAATTTGGTCGATAAATCTTCGTCTAGGGCATCCCTTCCCGACTCTGCCATTCACATCTGCAATATAAATTTGCTTTGTCACTCTTTGCTACTTCATATTTTTCCACATGACCAAAATTGTTATTGTAAATTAAAACGTATGGAAATTCATCCATAATTGTTGATCATCAAATGTTATTTCACTTATTCGTTCATTGCAGTGTATCAAGTCGTAGATTAGAGAGGATTTAGTAAAAGTTTCACGCTCAACACACCGGTTGGCCTGTCCAGAACGTCGGTGATATGCAATTACGGTGGTTTGAAATTTATCACTTAAAATATGTACGTACTTACAGCTATCAATTAAGTGATTGTATTAAGTATTTGTACAATGTATATGATTGTAATATTGCCTTAAATTGTGTGACACTGCAACTTGCGGACAAACCTTACGATTTTCGCAAGTTAATTACATTGAACTCATGTATTTATTACAATGTTATAGATAAAAAAAAACTGCAGTTCTTTTATTATTTTGAGTGGTTGTCAGGAAGATACCGATGCCCACCTCCTGCTTCAGGTACACTCTGTCACCTCTAAAGACACTCAAAAGATGATATGGGGTAATGGATACTTTTTCGCCACTGCTACACAGCATAACTATTTTTTATAAGATAGGGTAACAAACGAGCACACAGTCCAGCTGATGGTAAGTGGTTGCTGTGGCCCATAGACATCTACATCTATCCTTGATAATGAATCAAAATGCAGATGTCTTGTCACCCGTGAGGACTAAGATGGAATGCCTCGTTTCCAGTAAAAAGGGTCTCCGGATCTCTACACTCACCATACGAAGCACAGCAGCATCAAGCTACCATTTTACTAACTACAAAGCTACTATTTAACTAAAAGAAAATATGTACACAAAATCCTTTTGTATCCGTATTTAGCCTTCTTTTTGTGTAGTTTTGGTAGCGTTAGATTTTTAAAAAGAATTTGTTTCAAAATTACTGATTCTATAGAAAATTAGAAAATAAGTTTTTCGTCAGGCCATTTCTTCCATCCGATGGTAAGTCTACTTTCAATGCGCGCCTCAAACAATGTATGTGTAAAGAGATAAATCTAATCTAACCTGTCTATATCGATTTTATCTTTGATGTAGCCCACCTTCAGTCTTATCGCATAAGGTCGTAACGAGCAATGATCTGTTATTTAAGAGCGGGTTAGGCTTAACAGTAACGAGTTAGAGATGTCAGATCATGAAAAATATTAATCAAATCATTCGATTAATTCATTCATCTGAATAATTCGAATAATTATGAACATTTTAATGAAAATTCTGTCGGGCGCGATTACAAGTACTGTTGACCCTAAATAATGAAGTGTTTACGTAGAAAAAAAGATATACTTATAATAAAATGTCTCTTAAATCATTAAAACAATTTGATGCTAATTTTTGTTATTTTGTTATTGAAAGTGGTATATTATTAGAAATTCTATTCGATTTAAATTAGTTTTGTAGTTTACTCGAATATTGAATAATCCTCTACCTCATACCTCTGGGTTAAGTGCTTCTGTGTTTGCACGTACAATTATTTTAGCTTAGGACGCATTTATATCGAAAAATAGTTAATAATAATTATTAAAAATATTATATGTGATCGAAAGTCATAATTTATATTTAAATATCCATGAAATATAAAATTGTGCCTCTATATTATAGTGATTTAGCACTAGTAGTACTTTTTCAATCGTGGCGACCTTCGTTTGTTTATTTTTCTCATATTGTTAACTTAAAATTTCTTTATTTTTAATGATTGCATCAATCGAACTTATTATTTCTATTTTAGTGACTCTATTTTAAAAGTGAAAAGCTATTTTTTTAATAATATTACTTTCTTCTAATTTATCTTTTACGCATACACTACGTCATGATAAGAAGTAGGTGCGCCAGGTGCTGCTTTGATATCATTTGACACGTGTTCCTGTACCGTGATTGTCTGCGGTCGTTGTTTGATTGTGTAATATATATTAATAAGCAAGCATTATTGTGCGTGATTAACTGAAAATGTAATAAAGAATCCGGTGCAAAAGGATCGGTGTTTTAGAATGCATATGAAGTGAGTCAGATTTCGAACCATTA